AAGGGGAGTAACTCTTATTTTCCTTTTGTATCCAAAATTTCAGTGCACTTTTTATTATCGGGGGACATTTAAGTTTTCTCTTGGTATGGCCATCATCACAATAGCTAGTGTGGAGTAGATGCGATAGGCAACAATAAACTATAGTAAAATTCAAAACTGATCGCTGTATTTAAGTATTGACTTAATATTTAAGCTTACCTTTTAAAAGCTCAGCAATAATTCTTCTGCTGCCACTTAATTTAAAGACGATTTCATGTACTTATTTTCTGTACAAAAAATTATTTTTATTCCATGGGTGACAAAACAGGGGACATTTTATAAGATAAAATTAATATAGTGTAAAGATGGTAAAATAGAAATTGGAATTAGTTATACATTCAACATTTGAAGAGTTAGAGAATCATAATAGCTAATTAAGTAAAACCTATATTATAGTAATTTATACGGTGTTTACTCGTTCCCCCACCAGAACGAGATGTGACACGAGATCTTTTTAAAGTGGGGAGCCTGAGACCATGCACCCGGTCAAGGAACAAAAATTGCCCACAGACCCCGAAACCGTTGGTTCCGCTGGCGTCGGTGCGTGCACTGATCCCTCCCTCTTGTGCAACGGGAGGGCGCGGCCTCTGGCTGCTGTTCCCCAGGGCCGGGCACCTCTCAATATAATTTTCTCAGTTGCCTCTCTGTCCTTTGACAGAGAAGCCCCTGAGCGCACTCTGTCCAAAGACGGAGACGCAACTGAGAGATGATAAATAATGTGTACAAATTACTTATAGTAATTTGTATTTACTGAAAAACCACGAGGTCAGGTTGTGACATAATGTCGTTTTAATGTGGGGAGCCCGAGCACGTGCACCCGGGCAAGGAACAAAATTCCCCGAGCCCACGCAACCGTCGTTTGCGCTGGCCTCGTTTCGTGAACCGAAATTTCTCTCTAGCGCAATGAGAAGGCGCGGCCTCGGCAGCTGTTCCCCAGGGCTGAGCACCTCTCAGTATAATTTCCTCAGTTGCGACTCTGTCCTTTGACAGAGAAGCCCCTGAGCATACTCTGTCCAAAAACAGAGACGCATCTGAGAGATGATAAGTAATGTGCGGAAAAGCTCAATATCTGAATTATATATTATCTACTTCTACATATCATTCTTCAGGATTAACTAATTTGCATAGAGATTTTAAAAAGTATACTTCATTAATTAAATGTCCTTCATTAATGTTCTTTTATTCCAGGATTGTTTTGATTTTCATATGAAAAATACTTCTTTTTTAGGGATATTGTTTTATATAGTGCAGAAATCTGTTTGAAATTTGCATTTTACTTGACTTTCAACAAGTTGGCATCTATTTGTAAAACTTTCCTTAAATATAATAAACCAATTTATGAATGAAATTTTCATTTAAAATTTTTGTTTCAAAGATTTCAAGTAGTGAATATATCTTTGCAGAGCAATATCGAGCGGGCGAATCCTGCTAGTCCATAATATATATATAATGACAACTCCATAGTGACAACTTTAGGACTTTTTCACATATGAATGAAATTATTTTTTAAATATTTTGTTTTAGAAAATATTAGTAATTTTTTTTACATATGTTACCCACCTACTTACATAATTCCATGAAATTTCGAGCAATTAAGTTTTAAGGAGAAAAGTTTTATTAGTTAAAATCAGGACTCTTTGAAGAATTGAATTCACATGTTTTTTTTTTTAAACGGGACCCCCAGTCCGCGAAAATCTGCATTGAATGATAAAATAAAAAATGTAATAAAATTTTGACAATTTTAATTCGTTTTATAAATAAGATTTATTAAGGACATTATTGTGCTAAGAAAAAAAATTTCGATGAATAATGAATTTTTACATGAATTGTTTACATTTTTTTTAAAATTTTAATTAAATAATTTAAATCATTTAAAATTGTGCATTGCTTTAAGGTGGTTGCGTTATATCATTATCAAGTAAAAACTACATTTATGAATCAAAAATTGAAAAGCACATTAAAAGTCGTTGACCCCCAATATTCTTCAATTTTTTTATGTATACGTAACATACCTCTTTTTGAAAGTATGATCGACTATACATGACATAATCAGAAAATAAGATCGATGACTATATTAAATTTAAACTCAACGTTCTTAAAATTAAAACACGGAGAACTTTTCCCAAGAGGTTTTACATTACTGCGTACTTAAAAATTATATAAAAAAACACTCATCCGTCATTTTCTTAAATTATGTTTTAACAGATAAAGACACCATACAACAAAAATAAGCCCGTCATCACCTTGTCAAGTGATTTACGAGGTGTCGATAAGCACTTAATTGTGCTACTGTTTGTTTTAAGAATCCATTTCTCTGTTATTTTAAATTTTTTTTCAAATCAACTTAAACTTTAAATCAGCTAATATTTCTCAAATACAGTTTTAGAAATATATATTTTATTTTTGAGAGATTTTAAAACTCATTTATTTTAATTCTTAGGTATTGACATTTATACTGAAATAGTGGAGATACCTATATTTCTATATAAACTTCACTATTTATTTCCTATTATGTAAACATTTCAACACTATCCAGTTTCCGACGTAATTTTAATATTTGTGTAACTCGCCTGATGACTTTGTGGACATCGTATACATCTTTTATGTGACCTGTCTCTTCAAGACTCTGTCGATCATGGCTCTCCGCAACCTCCTATCCTTTGTAGATCTGTATAAATTTTCTCATATCGTCCAAGCCCTGTTTGCCTATCAATTCATTCAAGCTAACCAAATCGGCTATGCTGTCTCTCTTACCTTCAGTCTGCCATGTGAGTATCAAATATCTCAAACCTACTTTCCTCGTTATATGACATAGAAATTTCAACACTCTCTTCCTGATGTTAAATATAAGTTTCCTTTTTGTTTCTCTTGTCTCTAGAACTTTGTCGTTGCTCACATTCTCGTTCCATGGTATGCTCAGCATCCTTCTGTAGAACCAGGTTTATGTTACTCAAAGTTTCTTTTTCAGCTGCCAGGAGATTGTCCAGCACTCTCAGAAGAATGATATTACATAATAGTTCAGTACTTTTTTCTTTGTTTCTAACGAAATTAGTTTCTTTGCTTAGCTTCTGGAAGGCATATTTCAGTGTCGTAGTTTCCGACGTCTGTTAAAACGCTTTCCAGTTATTTAAATTCTAGTACCTGTTTGCTTTTGGTATCTCCAAGTTGTGATTCGCAGGTTTTATTAAAAATCATGTATCCTGTCTTCTTGCAGTTGATGTTTAGCCCTATATATACAAAGTGCGGCATAAATATCTCCATCATATACGTCCCACATAAGGGTAAGGTATGATTTGATAAATCAACAAACACCAGCCTCTCATTCCCAGTGGACCACTAGATTTCTTTTAACGCCATATCAGAGGACGTGCTAACAGGAGGGGGGATTTGAGTTCACAAGCGGTTCCCAGCCGCAAATATGCAGACTTTTAGTATAGTCTGAATTCTCCAAGACTGGTTGCCACCCAAGGCTATATGACCCAGTCTACCCTGCTGGGGAAGAAGAAATGGCTTTACCTCTATCTATAAAAGGTAGGATGTGTGTGTGTGTGTGTGTGTGTGTGCGTGTGCGTGTGTGTGTGTGTGTGTGTGTGTTTTAGGAATGCACGGTCGCAATTTTTCGACGGATTTGCACCAAAAATTTACATGCACATGCTCCAAGTTATGGGGAAGGCCAAGACTTCTTTTAAATTTTCCAACTCCCACCGATAGTGGAAATAATCGATTTTTTCATGCTTCTACGGCAGTTTTCATGTAGTTTGCGGCCATTTTCTACTGGCCAGAGTGAGAGCCTATAGCTGGCTGCCACGAATAGGCAGGAAGATTCTATTGGCCAGCGTGAGAGCCAACAGCTGACTGACACGAATGTTAACTAGCATCCTAGCATGCAAAACAATCGATAGCTGCATTCGTCACAAGTGGGAAAAATTTAAATCTGCATGGCACTTTACTCCAATTGGCTCATTCGCTTACTTAAACTCAACGTTGATTCTGATTCCGCAGAATTGGGTTGGGTGTGAAAAAGTATTTGTTGTTAACATTCTTTTTTCATTCAGTTCTTCCAGTTACGAGTCCTTTTTTTAAAGCTGATCGTTTTGTATTCATTTTGTTTAGTTCTTTTTTTCGTAACAGATTTAATGTTTAGTATAGAGCTTAGAAAAAAATCGCAGTGTGAGATAGGCAAGAAGTAAGGTATGTAGCAACATCAGCACGACAAAGGGCACTCCTTTAAAGGCAAGGAAGGGCAAAAATATTTTAAGTCAAGTAATAGCGATTGCTGTAATGAGTCGTACGATTTTTGAATCAAGCACGGTCAACGCCGGGCCATGCTGCTAGTACCTTTCTATCAGCGCGTAAGTGAACGTAATGAAGTCGACTCCAGTTTCCGAACCCGAGATGCGAGCCATTATTTCACCGTGTCTCGACTTACCATATCTTGAGGTATATGTGGGGGGTAATTCTGTGGCACCCTGTATTATGGGGGTCATTTTAAGAGCAGCGAGAGAGAAATAGCTGCATACATTCATAAGAATATATACTGTGTAGTTTAACAGGAACGAGTGAACCTATTCAAATTGTAAAAAGACAAAAAAACAATAATCAATCAAATAACTTATTATTCTGGTATACGCATTCAGAAATGCATTTGAATTCTTAAAATCCACACTACGTCGTGGTCATGAAGACATCTGCAAGTTTGTAAACTAAAAGGAAAAAGAAAATAACAACATGCTTACACGACTTTACAGTTATTCAAAATTCGAGATGATTAAAAACATGCAGAAAAATAATCGCTAAACGAATTCAGAAATAAATTTGATTACCACCATTTTGATAATGACTGAAGCCAGAGCAACACTCGAAACCTTAACAAGAATACAAACTGGATACAGTTCCTGTATATATTTAACAAAAAGATACGGAAATTAATCTGTCAACAAAAAAAGATTGATCGAAAAAATATGACAGAGAAAATATGTTATCTTCAACAGAAGTTATTTAAAATTATATTGGCAGGCATAATAGCCAATGTCTGTCTGTCTGTCTGTCTATCTATCTATCTATCTATCTATCTCAGTCTTCTAATATCTATCTATCTATCTATCTATCTATCTATCTATCTATCTATCTATCTATCTCAATCTCTTTATAACTATTTCAGTCTCTTTACATCTATCTATCTATTTATTTATCTCAATCTCTTTATAACTATCTCAGTCTCTTTACATCTATCTATCTATCTATCTATCTATCTCAGTCTCTTCACATCTATGTATCTCAGTCTCTTCACATCAATCATCTATCTATCTATCTATCTATCTATCTATCACAGTCTCTTCATATCTATCTATCTATCTATCTATCTATCTATCTATCTATCACAGTCTCTTCATATCTATCTATCTATCCGTCTGTCTGTCTGTCTGTTATCTCAGTCTCTTCATATCTATCTATCTATCTATCTATCTATCTATCTATCTATCTCAGTCTCTTTACATTTATCAGTCTCTTCAGATCTATCTATCTATCTATCTATCTATCTATCTATCTATCTATCACAGTCTCTTCATATCTATCTATCTATCTATCTATCTATCTATCTATCTATCTATCTATCTATCTATCACAGTCTCTTCATATCTATCTATCTATCCGTCTGTCTGTCTGTCTGTTATCTCAGTCTCTTCATATCTATCTATCTATCTATCTATCTATCTATCTATCTATCTATCTCAGTCTCTTCATATCTATCTATCTATCTATCTATCTATCTATCTATCTATCTATCTATCTATCACAAGAGATGGACCATAATGACTATACTGAAGCATTGGATGAAACATGGGGAAGTTGTGTCGATCTGTTTTATTTTTGGACCTATCGTCATGTAAACGTATTGAATACCACGTCTGGAATCGCATCAGAATCGCGTTAAATCCAACTCTCTAAAAGGTAAGCGCCATGTTGGAACAAGCGAACATGATTCAAATACGGTTGATACGAGAAGAATGATGTTTCGAGATGATAAAAGAACAAAATAATTCAACAGAAAAACGAAATGATAAACTGATAAATAAGATCTTGCAAAACAGATTTTCTAGATAAGCGATGATGGGTCGGGACACTGACGCGAATAAAAAAAAAAAAAAAAAAAAAACACCAGTAAAAATAGTAATAAAAATAAAACATTATCGAGCAGGAAAATTAGAAAGGATAATCCACTCTTTTCACTTTTTATAAATGAAGATCATCCAGTGATAAAAATGAAGTAATGGGCGTCAGTGAACAAAAGTAAATATGAACGTGAAATGGCGAGATATTTGAAAAGCGTCCACCCAAAATAGAGTGTTCATGTTGACAGGGAATTTAACAGAAACGAAATACATTGAAGTGATGCGAAATCGAAATAAAGATACTAAAAAAGGCAAGCATTCTTTTTTCTGTCTGTTCGGTTACCTGCCTCTTTTGACGCTATGTATTTTTAGTTTTAGAAAAAAGTGTTTGTGTGGGGGCATTTCGAATGCAGTCTTTTTATGCGTAAAACATTGATTAAATGAATAAAATAGAAATGAGAGAATGGAGAAAAGAAGGAGGGAAACGAAAGCGAAAGAGAAAGAGAGAGAAAATTGTAAAATAAAATAGAAAAAAATCAAGAAAAGTAAAAGATAATGAAAATAAACAGATACAAGACAAAAAGAATAAATCAGTAAAAGGAAGAAACGAACGAAAAACAAACACAAAGAAAGAAAGAAAAGAAAGAAAGAAAGAAAAAAAGAAAGAAAGAAATATAATTCTAGAAAAGAAAGAAAAGAAAGAAAGAAAGAAATTTAATTCTAGAAAAGAAAGAAAAGAAGAAATATCCTAGAAAAGAAAGAAAAGAAAGAAAGAAATATAATCCTAGAAAAGAAAGAAAGAAATATAATCCTAGTAAAGAAAGAAAGAAAGAAAGAAATATAATCCTAGAAAAGAAAGAAAGAAATATAATCCTAGTAAAGAAAGAAAGAAAGAAAGAAATATAATCCTAGTAAAGAAAGAAAGAAAGAAAGAAATATAATTCTAGAAAAAAAGAAAGGAAGAAATATAATCCTAGAAAAGAAAGAAAAGAAAGAAAGAAATATAATCCTAGTAAAGAAAGAAAGAAAGAAAGAAAGAAAGAAAGAAATATAATCCTAGTAAAGAAAGAAAGAACGAGTGAAGGAAACGCTCAAAGTAATCACCATTTGAACCAACAAAAGAAAGAAAGAAAGAAACGGTGAAAGTAAGAAAGAAAACAAAGAAAACAGGAACAAATGATGAAATGAAAGAAACAAAAATAATGAATAAAGAAATATAAAAAATGAAAAATGAAAAGAAAATCGAAAGAGAGAAAGGAAGTGACAATCAAATAAGAATATCCAAGTAAGAAAGGAAAGAAATAATAAAAACAAGAAAAAACAAATAAAACAGAAAAATGAAGAAAAAAACAAATAACTAAAATAAGCAGAAAAAGGAAAGAAAGACAGAATCAACAGAATACACGACAAACAGGAAGAATAAAAAAAAAATCATAAAAAACAATGAAAAGAGATAATCAACTGTTGTGGTAGGATCCACCTAATTTGCATAGTGGAGTACCGACCATAAAAATATGATTGGTACCGGGAAGAGAAGGGGGGGAATCAAGAGATTCAATCCAGAGACTCTGTCCGACTGCGACCAAGTCAACACATTCTCCAGGAACGGTCTTCCCAAGAATATACAAAAGACTATATGTAAATATTGTGAACACTTTCTTATTTCAATACATTTTGTTCTAAGTACATTTTTGTGTTGTATTATTATTCCATGCATTAGTCAAGTTTCATCACCAACTAAAAAGATAGAAAAGACAATCAAAAAAGAAAGAAGGAATTACGAATGAAAAAAAGAAAAGAAAAAAATAAATAAAAAATAATCCCCAAAGAAAGAATGGAACAACCTAAATAATTATAGTGAGATAGAAAGAAAGAAACAAAATCACACGAAGAAAGAAAGAAAGAAAGAAAGAAAGAAAGAAAGAAAGAAAGAAAGAATCAACAAAAACAAAGAAATGTAGAAAGGAAGAAAAGGAAAGAAAAATAGAAAAGACTCAAAAAATAATAAAAAACATAATATTAGATAGAATGAATAAAAGAAAACTAAAGCGAGAAGAATTTCAAGAAAGAAGAAGAAGAAGAAGAAGAAGAAGAAAGAGAGAGATATTTATGAATTTCAAAAAGAAGATAACTTTCATTTTCTCTTTCTAGCTGCTCTTGGGTCAGCAAAAAAATAAAATTTGAATGAGAAACGTTTTTCATGAATAGCAGGTCTTGGATTTCCGCATTTTTCCCCTATGACACTTAAATTCGAACGAAAATGGCAGCATATTTCCACACCAACTTTGATAGTTTCAATTTCAAAATGATTCTTCTATAAACATCGAAACGCTACTTCAACTGTAGCAAAGTGATTGTTTGTCAGTCGTCAGATTAGAAATGCCAACCGTCGCCATGAATCTGGAGAAAGAAAGAGAGAAATGAACTAAATTTGATTATTGCAAGTCTAGGGTTATCTTTTTTTTCATGCAATCTGTGCAGGAAAAGATAACAGTATTAGTTCTTATGAATTCAAGACGGTGTGCGTTTTTCGCTTCATGTTGGTTAGCCAAGGTATATTTAAGGAAATGCAAAATACTGGAAGGCTTTTCAAAATGACGTTAAGGTTATCAAAACTGAAAACGAATTTTTTTTCGCTACAATTTCAACTGAGTCTGTAGATTTCTGAGATGAGGTTTTTATGTACACTATTTACATTATTCGGACTATTGTCCTCATCTTTGTCGCCATATTTATTACAAGGTTTCGGCGGTTGTACGCTTCTTCAGGTGGTTGGAATGTCGAACTGAACCCTTTATTTCGCTCACTGGGGTAGACTGTTCTAGTTCCACGTGCCATGTTTAATGGATGTTAGTTATCTGTTATCTTCTGTTAATTCCCCTCTGCAAGTTCTCCGCCGCCATAACCAGGTATTGAACTCACACATTTTGAGCCCTATCACTGGGTCTAACCAACGCCTTTATCCACTGTGCCATGTGTCCTTGAAGACATCTGTGTGTGAATTTCTGGGTATTATAAACCTAATGTCTTCAACAACCATTTTTTACCAGTGCTCATATTGCAATTTTTAAGTTCTCCACTACCTTAACCAGGTATTGAACTCACACTCTTTGAGTCCTTAAAAAATCAGCACATATGCTAGACCATAAAAATCTCCTTAGCCGACCAAGCATAGAAATGGATACAATATAAGAATCAGTAATAGGGAGTGCCAGAGAAAAGCAATAACAACAACAAAAATTGCAATATGAGCTTTGGTAAAAAAACATGCAATGATATCAGCAAAAAATGCAATATGAGCACTGGTAAAAAAATGAGGGCTGAAGACATTACGTTAATAATAACCAGAAATTAGCACACAGGGACATATGGTACAGTGGATAAAGTCAGTTTAGTTCCAGTGACAGGACCCAAAGCGTGTGAGTTCAATACCTGGTTAACGCAGTGGAGAACTTGCAGAGGGGAATTAGCAGGAGATAACTGACACACACACACACACACACACATATATATATATATATATATATTTATTCGTTCACACTCCTAAAAGCAATACGCATAAAATTAGCAATTTAGCTGAGTGTTGATGACGTAGGAACTCTAACTGATACCGAATCGTTTGGGTTTCGATCCAAGCTCATCTATATCTTCGGTTCTTCATTCTTACATTTCTATGGCCAATAACACCAATTCTCATTTCCAATTTATTGTGTTTTGGAAGTTAATATTAATTTTATTTTATCCCCATTTTTATCTTGATTTAACTCCCTACTTATTTTAATTTATTTGAATTTAATGTGAAGAATCCGAGCCCGTCTGCTCGGCCAAAAATTCACCGTTGACCCCGTATGAAACGGGGTCGGGTAGCTGTTTCCCGAGGCAAGACTCTGCCCTTCGACATAGTCTCGTCTGGGGATCCTCACTGCCCGGAGGCAGAGAGTTTGACCAACACAGTTGGAGACGAATGTCCAACTGCAGACCAACATACAGTATTTACTACTGTATTTATTTATTATCGTCCGTAGGTATGCTACAACAATATATATATATATATATATATATATATATATATATATATATATATTCAATACTGTCTTCTGACAGGGTTGAATTTGTTTCGGCTATTGCTGTCCGGGAGTAGATAGTGAGAATTTGTTTGTCATGTTACAGATGTGCCGGTTAAATTAGAATACAAGACAGAAATATTTCAATATTTAGCATTACAATTTATTCAGTTCCTGAATTCAGCGATTACTCTCGGTCAGCGTGCATTTACGCCCTCGTAGAGCTCCCAACCGAACGTAGACTTTACATACTCGTCTATAATATCTGACTGACTGCCCAAATCCACTTTTTTTTCTGGCGCGTGCACGTATCTCACTCAGGTGTTCACCTCTCGGTGTTACCGCTGACAACGGGTATATCGCAGAGCCCCATCCACGGTTAGATTAATTTCAGATCAGCGCAGCACTTGGTTTCTCTGTTAGTCTGGTAAGAAATTAAATTCAAACCTATTTCCGTCATAATACTACATGTCCCTTCTCTTTTTCGTCAAGCATTGTGCCATACATGTAACCAAATACTTACGCCAAAATCTTGACCGATAGGATCAACTGAAAGTGTAACAGCCTGTGGCTGGCTGGGATGAGATTTATTGCCTGAAGTAATGAGGTCACCTTCTCAATTGAAGTAGAATAGGATAAATGACACTATTGTCATTAAGTCCCCTACTTAATTTACTTAAATTCATTAGAGTTCATTAAATAATACTGTTGTCTATTTTTATCAAAACGTATGCAGATGGTACAAAGATCAGAAGTCCCATTGCTCTTTGATTTAACTAGACATATCACTTGCACGATAAAAAACCAACAGACCAGATATAACAAAAGATATCAATAAACCTAAGTGCTTTTTCATAAATATGACCATCCGTTTTATAAGGATATCTCCGCAAAAGGATTTGACACAATTTCAATATATAAGGAACTGGAAATAGGCATTTCTAGAATAAGTTATTAAACACAACCACTATTCACTTGATTCTATAAGCACTCGGAATTATGAAACTGATACATACATTAAGAAAAACATTGGAACCGTCTCATTAACAGAGATAACAAGGATAGCAAATAGCCTAGTGGATTAAAGAGTTGGTTCGTGAAATTTGTGACATACTAATTGTAAGTTCAATCCCTTGAAGGGTGGCTGCACCTGTTAGGGTCTAAGCTATGGGCAAATAGTGAACCGCCAAACAAAACACTATTTATAAATACATTTTTATAGTAAAAATGGCAGCAATACATCCTTATATAAAAATTTGACCATCATTATATTTCTTTAATGACCAACAATAGATACTTATAGCTAAATAGCCAACAATAATTTTTTAAAACAAAATAACCAGCAATACATTTTCAATATATTTGATCTGTAGTTATAGGTATACATTTGCGTTCAAAATATATTTAGTTGAAGATATAAAATTGTGTTCAAATTATTTAGATTCCGACATTAAATGGCCTATATGCCACTAAACTAAATCGACCAACAAATCAATCCCTGAGCTTGGCAGTGTGTACTTGGATATAGGCAGTGGAATTAGAACACTCTGATTTCGGAGGTTTAATGAAGGTTTCAGCTAGGAATTTCGTGTAGATTACACGGGTAGATAAACTCCTGACGAAGGCCGGAAGGGCGCAACGGTCGAAACGTTGTGATGACAACAGACCGAATGCAAATAGTGTATATAATTATAACTCCTCATCCCTTTCTTGAAAGAACCACCAGTTTGACTTCAACGTTTAACTCTTTTCTTATTAAAGGATTTATCTTTTCTAATATCAACGAATACTCATTGTCACTTCCGTAATGCTCGTTACAGTAGAGACTTTGTAATCGCGGGTACAACTATAGTACGCCGTTGAACAATACTGGTGTCAGACGCCTTCGAATATCGCTCGCATTAATAGTACTTGCTCGAATAGTAACCACCAAATAGTAATCCGTATAGTGATCAGTATAAAGAAATAATATAGTGAATATTGTAGAGAAACGCGATCCGTATAGGTAATTTTCTAAGCATAGCTTAGATGTGGCACAAGGCCGAAAGTACAGGGCACCCAATGAGGATCGAACTCACTGTTCAGTCGTAATTGATCTAGCGTCGAAGTACCCAAGGAGATCGATATATTTATAGATGACAGTTGAAATAGTGATAAATTAAATGCCACACTAATTCCCATATACACATTTCCTTTGCCATCTACGTGATCTATTTATTCAAAATGGAATCACCTGTGTTTGCTCACTGGTGATCTGTGTTCAAATTCCAGTGTCGGCAATGACACTTGATCCCAATTATCAAACTGGAAAACATATCAAATTGTAGGTGTGGCTAACTGAGCTTGAGCAGGATGAGAATGTAGGTCATATCATGGGAATTTGGGGGATACTGAACAGGATAATGATGATCTCGGATAAGGTACTTGAAGATGAAGAAGTCGTGCCTCAGGGGGGTCAGGCAGAGGTAAAAATCATTCCAAGTAGGGACTGTTGCCACAAGTCATGATACATTACAAGAACCATTCATGCAAAAAACAGATATAGAAGTTAATGATTTAAATGGCGGGAATACATCTTCGCAAATAAATTTAATAAAGTACAGTTGCATAAGGACAACGAAAATATAGTTGTAATCCGAAAAAAATGTTTTTAGAAATGTGTTATTGTTAATTGTAAGAAATCTTTTTTTCGGATTACATCTATATTTTCCTTGTCCTGTTATTACCGAGATGTAAAAAACAAAAACAAATCTATTTCCATAACTGAAGTTGTCTGCAGGAACAGACGAAAGCTTGTAAAAAACTAAAAAAGACCTTATGCAACCGGAATTTATAAACAGGGATGATAACATTCATATACAGGTTCGGGGTTAATGTACTTTATTAAATTTGTCTGCGAAGATGTATTCTCGCCATTTAAATCATTAGCTTCTATATTTGTTTTTTGTATGAATTATTCATGTAATGTAAATTGAACTGCACCACATACTATATATATATATATATATATATATATATATATATATATATTGATACAAATTATTAACTCTTACGCCCCCATTTTTTTTAAAATAATTGCTGTAGACGTTACCATAGTAATTTTAATTTTTAATAATGAATATACTTATAAAACGCGTAAATTTCAGGAATTAGTTATTCAAAAAAAAATTTCGCTTGAAGATGGAACAGAGCTTAGTACTTTAATTCAATTTAATTCTAATAATTATATTGAAGTTTTCGGCTCTTGTTTTTGAAACATGAGAACTCTTATGTAGCGATGGAATCATATTTTTAAATAAATAATTATATTCATGCTCTACTTTTTGTATCGAGCACTGTCTTTTTAAAAATAATAACAAAAATACTAAAGAACTTGGATTATTTACCTAACGAGTTCTTTTCCTATTTTCTATATATTTTACACACACACACACACACACACACATATATATATATATATATATATATATATATATATATACAACAGGCTACTTGAGGCAATGACAAACAGTAGACATAAAGTAATGACAAATCGAAAGTGTAAGAGAAAGGTCCCTTACAGAAGAAGTTAGAAAGCAAATGAAGCAGTAGAACTTATAGCAAATGAGAATGTCTTCGTGATTTTAGGCTGCTGTTCCTGTTACTATAGAGCTGTTGGGCAAGTTGAAGAAGATAAACGCAAAGAGTAAGGAGGGACAGTTTCGGAAGAGAGGAATTAAGAGTAGCCTAGCAACCTGGTGAAAGGTACTGCATAAAATCGAGGCGACCAAGCGGGAAAAAGACATAAGACCAGGAGATCGGGATCAAATGCGAGTGGGTCACAAATGTAAGCTGACTGAAAAGGGGAAAGATGTTGCTTTTTAACATGCCAAAGCAGAAAATTAGAGCAGGTAAAGGGAAGATAAAACAATGCGGTTAACGTTGCCTTTCTGTCCTATCAGAACATCTCGTTCAGAATGAATCAAAAGTTATTCAACGATGAATTACATATTAAAAGTGTGGAATAAACTGACTCACCTACGCCTTCTAAGTCAAGAATGTTTTGGTCCAAGATTTGGTCAGCTGACATCAAACGCAAAAAGAGGATACATCGTAGTTACCAAAGTTAGAAAGGAATCGTGGAAGAATCTTAACTGAATGATACAGCCATTAATTTGGTGGATATTGAAAGGATGATTGGTAAAATGGCTGAATGGGAAGTGGCTGGACAAGATCTTGCGCAAGGTTTCTGTTTTGAAAAGTTAACAGACCCACATGAGAGGTTGCAGCAAGAAATCTTTAGATCTGAGTATGATGCCAGAATGAATGGGTAAGGGAAGGACTCCTGTCAGAAACATCTAAGTTTAGGAGAGGATATCAAATAATAATAATAATAATAAGACCATGAAAATTCAAAAGATTAAAAGTAAATTTACCTCCGGATTGAGGTTGTTAGAATGTGGGACCTTCAGGTTGCCATTGTCCCCGCCCCAGTTATCTTTGGGGCGTTGGGGTTTATATTAACGAACACAAAGACCTTCATTGAGAAAACAAGAATAAAGCCTCGTACCTCCATCACTTCAGAAGTCTGCTTTGCTTGGCCCTACAATTATTCTGCAAAAGGTGATCACTGTTTGACGGAGAAGAACCATAAAGGAAGATCTCTGGTTGAAAAAGCAAAATCCGTGCGGAAGGTGGGGGGGAGAGATAATAATTATAATAATAATAGCATATGGGAACATCAACAATCCCTGTTGTAGTTGGAGCCCTAGGACTGGTTGGAAAAGATTGCAGTAGAAGTCCATGCCTCAAGGAGATACAAAAAATTGTTCTGACAAGTACAGCCCACACCTTACGAAGGGCTTTATCGATGTAATTTAATTTTTTTTTTTTTTTGTCAGTGGAAAGTGTCATGACGCCATTTCTAACCTTAGGTCCCTTGGCGGGATCCGGAAAGAAATGTGTAAACGCCAGAAATCAAAGAAAATAATAATAATAATAATAATAATAATAATAATAATAATAATAATAATAAATTGTTCTCACGAGTACAGCCCGCACCTTACAAAATGCTTTATCAATGTAAAATATGTGTTTTTTTTTATTTTTGTTTTTTTTTAATTGGTAAGTGGAAAATATCATGACGTCATTTCTGACTTTAGGTGTAGAAGTAATAATAATAATAATAATAATAATAATAATAATAATAATGATGGTGATGATGTAACTATCCTCTGGACATGCAAATTCAAACTGACAGGGAAATAAAAGCTAACAGACATTATTCATTATTATAACAAGACAAGAAATTCAGGAAGTGCATGTTTATTGACATAGCAGTACCATCTGAGAGAAATACCTCCATGAAAATTATCGAGAACTCGTCCAGATATATTGACCTGGAGATCGAGATTAACAGGATGTGAGGAACGAAGACTGAGACTGTACGAATAGTAATCGGAACTCTGCGCCTCGTGAGAAAAGAAATGGACAATTTTGCTAACAGTGTCCCAGCTTACATCAGCATGCAAGACGCTCTACTAGGAACATCGCATATACTAAGAAAAGTGCTATCAATTAAATGACAATTCTCCTATAGGGTCTAAGGACCAGAGTTTGGACCCGACTCTACAGGATGCAAGGCAGGAAATATAACACACAAATGATAATATTAGGTTGTCCCAAAAGTTCGTAAACACTTGCAAATAATTGAAATTTTACTCGCCAAGTAATAACAAAAACAACAAAAATTATTCCTCAAAATAAAAACCATCATTTTTTAAGACTTCTGCCATCGATCTGAAGGCTTTCGGATCTGGTGAAAGTACCATTCAGCCGGCTTCGAATCAAAGAATTCTTGACACGCTTCCTCGACTTCATCAAACAAGTCGAATCGACGGCCCTTCAGAAAGTGTTGCATTGAGCGGAAAAAGGCCGTAATCTGATGGAGAACAGTCAGGCCTGTAGGCTGGATGTGGCAGAACCTCAACGCCGTCCAGCTCTTCAAACTTGTCTTTGGTCTTCTTGGTGGTGTGTGGCTTGGTATTGTCCTGCTGCATCAAAGCGCGCTTTCGGTTGATCAGAGAGCCGAGTACTTTTGCTTCAACTTTTCGTAGACCCGCTCCAGTTGCTGACAGTAAAGTTCGGCACTGATGGCAAGACCATTCGGAACCAACTCAAAATGTCACGATTCCTTCAAAGTTCCACCAAATGCACAACATGACTTTCTTGCTGAATCGAACTTGTTTTGGAACCGAAGGTGTCTCTTGCCCTTTCTGAACCCATCGCTTGTCTCGATTCTGCTGGATTGCGTTGCATAAAAATTCAATTTTTCGCAAGTGTTTACGAACTTTTGGGACAACCTAATAATAATAATTTAAAAAAAAACATATAATCCGATAAATAATATCACTTTTTTTTAAAATTAATTAATAAGTAAAATATTTATTTTTTCAGTTTACAGGAATGTTCCACTTATTATCTTAAAAAAGTGAACACCATTATTATTATTATTAGTATTAGTAGTAGTATTTTAATTTCACATGAGCTGCGTTAGCCATCGTATAAATTCTAAACTTTCTTAACAGAATGTTAACTTTTTCTATTAATTTTCTTGACAATTTCGTTAAAATGAGTAATGATGGTAACAACAACAATAATATTTTTTAATTAATAACTAAAACTTAAATTAATAACAACAATGATATTTTTTAATTAATAATTAAAACTTAAATTAATAACAACAATAATATTTTTAATTAATAATTAACACTTAAATAAATAACAACAATAATATTTTAATTAATAATTAAAATTTAAATTAATAACAGCAATAATATTTTTCAATTAATGATTAAAACAAATTAATAAGAACAATATTTAATTTTAAATAATTAATTAAACCTTAAATTAATAACAACAATAATATTTTTTCAATTAATGATTAAAACAAATTAATAACAACAATATTTAATTTAAATAATTAATTAAAACTTAAATTAATAACAGCAATAATATTTTTCAATTAATGATTAAAAACAAATTAATAACAACAATATTTAATTTTAAATAATTAATTAAAACTTAAATTAATAACAAAATAATATTTTTTCAATTAATGATTAAAACAAATTAATAACAACAATATTTAATTTTAAATAATTAATTAAAACTTAAATTAATAACAACAATAATATTTTTCAATTAATTAACAACTTTTATGATTAACAGGAACCGTAGCAGCAACATTAAAAAATGAATAAAATTACCATCTTTTTATTCATAATTATAAATATATAATATATTATTTAAACATAATACTCTACTATAATGATGTATTGTTTCGTTGAATATATATATATATATATATATATATATATATATATATATATATATATATATATATATATATATATATATATATATATATATATATATATATATATATATATATATATATAGAGAGAGAGAGAGAGAGAGAGGAATCTATATATATATATATATATATATATATATATATATATATAGAGAGAGAGAGAGAGAGATCTAAATGGAATAATAATAATAAAAAAACGAAAGAATATTAATCTACAACCCAGTGTGTCTAATGATTTTAATTTTTTTATTTTTATTTTCTTATTGTTCAATATATATATATATATATATATATATATATATATATATATATATATATATATATAATTTCATAATTATAAATATATAATGTGTTATTTAAACATAATATAGTATAATAATGTTTTGTCTCGTTGAATAGCTTCTTTTCCCAGTGCCTTTTTCAAACATTTTTTTTTAATTCCAATCGCTTCCCTGTCCATTGACAACCCATCTCTGTGAAGAAAATCTCCGACAATAACCCACTACTCAAGATGTTAATCGCGCCGTGAATGGCTTAAGCTTTATGAGGTCGCGAACGACCCCCTACAGTTTTCGGGACCCTGTCGGGCAAAGACCGTTATCCAATGTGACGGACAACTTTGGGTGGACTTTTGGACCAGTGCGTCACTCGTGAGTACAATATAAGAATTAAAAGTTAAATCGAAAAGTCCGTTATGGCTGTCCGAGTGAATAAACAGGGAGCCTGTCCTTCAGGAGGGAACCTACCCGAAAAAATCTGCCATAGGAACAACCTCCCACACAAATAATGAATCTTCAAGTCACCACAATCGGGATAATCCCAATGATGGCTCTGGGAATTCTCCAAAATGTCGACAATCATTCATTTAAAGAAAGAAAAGGTAAAATGTTCTCGTGAGGAGTACAAACTCGTTCTGACTGCATTCTATGAAGTGTTGTACAAACCTCAGAAAAACATCACTCACCAAACATATAACATTTGGCGAGAAAACGTTGGACAAGCAATTAGAAAGTACATTGACGAAAGTAAACTAGCCAATGTAAGAAGGTACATCATGAGAAATAACCAATTGACAGAGGCTGAAATTAATGAAATAAAAAGAACTAATAAACAGAATGGAGGAATTCCCAGAACATGAAAGGGAACCAGAAGTGGACATAAAAAGTACTAACGTCACACAAACCACAGATCAGAATAAAGACACTGAGATACACACTGTGACGATAATTCTGAAAATTTAGAATAATTGGAAAGTTGTGATCTTAGTCGCTCACAAGCCTGCAATAAAACGAGTCCAAAACATAATAAACTAAATTATTTTACGGAAAACAAGAATAGTATATTAGAAGCCAAGAAAGAAGTCATGAGCCGTAACAATCAGACACAAAATATTGCAATGGACAAACGAGAACAATTCCCAGAATTACAACC